TTATTGTCTAATTCCAAGTTAGTATGAGATAATCCTAGGAGAGTAATTATTTTATTTACCCCAACGTACCAACACCTAGGTAAAAGGTCATCGTCCCTTTGAGAAAGATTGGGAGGATAATTCACATTGTGAATTGGTGCATTGTGGTCCTTCTCCAGTGTACCCTCACTTATATGATTCTGGGTCTATAAACTAGCACTAGGCTTGGAACTCACCCAAGACCAATGACTGCCTATGTTTAGGATTTTAAATTTGGAAAGGAGAAGGGACATAAAGTTTCAAAATTTGGTGGGGGGAGGGGGTTGTTGATTAGACCACACCTGCAGTGCTCAGAGCTTACTCTTGGCTCTGTGAAAGCTTCAGAGACAAACTGGGGTGCCAGGGATTGAACCTGGGTCAGCCACATGCAAGGCAACTATTATACTCACTGTATTATCTCTTTGGTCTTACAAATTTTAATTATTTAAGTATCATTCTCCCTTTTGGCAAGAGTCAGTCCCATAGGACAGAACTCATAACAAAGCTGATGATCTAGACCCTTTAGTGGTGTAGAAGCAGGAGGGAGGGTACTCTGGGTCTGTGTATGCCTCAGTGGGATTCTTCTCTAGGTGCCAGGAGTAAAAACCAATCTAGGGCAATAAGACATCAGGTTAGGCCACTGTGACTCTTGACTCTGTTTAAATTTTTAGCTGATTGACTGATCCCACCTATATCATGGAGAATAATCTGCTTTACTAAATCCCCTGATTTGAAAGGCCATTGACTTTTAAAAACCAAGTGGATTTTTAAATTAAAGTTCATTGACTTAAAGACTTATCTCACTTCCCATAACCCCCATTCCTCTTTGTCACTAAAATCCATAATAAATAAAAACCCAGCCTTCACAGATCATCCAAAATCATGTTCAGTTGAACATCTAGCCATTGGCTCAGTTATACTGACACATTAAATTAACAATCACACTGTCTTACCCCAAATGAGGAGATTAGATAGTGTAATAACGTGGATAGCCCCTTATGGTTAAAAACGTTCTGTATTTTCTAGTTTCACTCCTGCAATATTTCATTTTGGGAAGGGGGCAACAACAACAACTCCCCCAAATCCCCCAAACCAAAAAACAAACAAACAAAACCCTATGCGCTTTTACTTACTCCCTTAAGATGTTTCGATGTATGGATATAGGAAATAAAAATATCTTGATGTTGTCTAGTCTGAACTGTGTTAGAAAGCATTATTTATTTTTTCTGATTCCCTGACACTCAGAGAGACTTCTGGACCTCAAGTAGAAAGTGTATATGTTTTTGTCCTAAGTAATAGGCCTTCCCTCTCCTCTCTGGAAAGAAAGATGGCGGCCACATGGTAACCTTGTGGACAGCAGGTATGAGCCGGGAGTGTGGGGGCGACTAAAACCTCATGGGAAGGGGGGCGTTTCGCTCCGCCCTTCACGCCCTACCGAGGCCACCGGTTGCCCCCTGCGAGCGGCTCTCCAGCACGGCCACGACTCCAGAACACAGAAACCAATTTCTTAACTATCTGACTTTCAGTAGAAATACCTCCAGGGTCAATAGGTAAAATAGCAGAAATCCAAAACCAACATTTAATTCTTGAACCCAGCTGTAGAAAGCAAATCACTTCACAATGCTTTTTCAGCATGTCTGATTTGGGGGGGGGGGGTAAACTCTAAAAAATAGTGGTGAATCTTTTATTGAAACAATGAATCTAATCAAAGCAGATAGAGCGTTAACTAGAATTCATCTGCCTCACAGGGACGGGGAGGGGTGGGGGGTGGGGTTTTATTGGGGTTCTTCATGGTAAAAAATAAGTATTGGTAAAGGGAAATGTGTTTGATATTTGCATGACTGAGACATAAACCTGAAAGCTTTGTAACCTTTCCCACAGTGATTCAATAAAAAAAAAAAAAAAAAAAAAAAAAAGTAATAGGCCTTATGCAATAGGGGTTGGAGCTGCTGTAGAATTGTCAAATAGTCCAGGAAGCCTTGTTGGAGGAGACTAAATATAGCATGAAAATTCCCCAACAGGGTTATCCAAGCTAAAGGTTGAAAGATCATTAACATAAACCTCCTTAGTCTTCCTATAACTTTGACATTTTGTGGGTTCTTGTTCTTTCTACTACCTGTTTTCTGTCCTGCCCTGTTCTCTATTGGTCTCCCCCTCAATTCTCTTTTTTTGGTTTCTCTTTTAGCATCCTCTCAGTATCCCAACTTTCTCTCTGAAATTTTCCACCCATTTAGCATTTTCTCCCTTGAGATGTTTATGTAACTGTTTACTTTTATGGCTTATTCCCTGGTTTCCTTTCCGCACAAGATTGTTTCCTTGATCTTTTTTTATTTCCTAGGGCTTCTGAACTCATCATTTGGATTTCCTGTTGCCTTTAAAAGTAATGATGTCTGTCATTCTTAGTAGAATTTTTCATTTTCTATTATTTTTGTTGTTTTTTTGGAGGGGTCATAATTCCTAAGTGAAAAGTCATTTGTCCTTAGGAAACTTAGTTTACTAACCTGGTAATAAACAATTTAAACTTTAAGACCATTAAGTTGCCTTTGAGCTCTGAAGTGATTTGGTTGTGTTGGTATAAAGATGTTCAAGTTTGATAGTCATTGTAGAAACATTCTGCTAGCTTGAAATTAGGTAGATGCCTTCCTCTGGCATCTATTCATAATTGAGTACTGGTTGTTTTTATTTTTGTTTTGGCCTCTGTACAAGTGACTCTAGGACTTTATTTTATTTTTTAACTTTTATTGAGGCACGATGATTTACAAAACTGTCCGTAATACTGTTTCAGGCAATCAGTGTTCCAACGCCAATCCCATTACCAGTGTCAGCGTTCCTACAATTGATACTGGTTACACCTAGTCCAGCCAATCTTGGGAATCAATGTTTCAAAGTTCCCTCCTACCCCTGACTCTTTAACAAGCAACATTTTTCAGCACTGTTATTATAGCTTGAGTTCGATGCGTGCAGTAGATTTTAGTAGTAGGCTCTGTGGTACACTACATCTAGATTTTTACATGTAGTGTACTTTTTACCATTGATGTGGCTTCTTGACCCTTGTATATCTCTCGACTTCCCTTTTCTTTCATCTCTCCTCCATTTTTCTCCTTCCCTGACCTATTCATTTCATTTGCCTGCCTTTGACACCTCCAATTCTCTCATCATGTTATTATGTATGCCACAGATAAGTTAAATCATCCAGAATTTTTCCTTCTTTTGACTAACTTTATTTAATATGATCTCCAGTTCCATCCAGGTATCAGCAAATTGAATGATTTCATTCTTCCTCGCAATTGCATAGTATTCCATGGTGTCTATACCAAACCTTCACTATTCACTCACCTGTCTTGTATTCCTGGATTGATTTCATATTTTAGTGATTTCACTGAACGCTGTAATGAATAATGGTATGCATATGTCCTTTTGTATGAATATTTTTATGTCTTAGGGGTAGATATAAAGAAGTTGAATTACTGGATCATATGGAAGCCCTAATTTTACTTTTATTCAAGAAATGTCTATAGTGTCTTCCAAAGGTGTTTTCCAGAAAACATTCTCACCTACTGTGGATTAGAATTCCGTTTTCACCACTTCCCTGCCAGTGCAGATTGTTTCCAGTTTTGTTTTGTTTTTAAATAGGTGCCATTCTCACTGGTGCAAAAATACTTTTGATAAAGATTCAGTTCAGTAGTGGATTTATACATAGGTAGAGTAGATCATTAACGAAACTCATTACTTTGGAACCAAAACTTACTGCCTACCCCTCTGCCCAATTATATTTCAACCTGTGAATGGTCCAGGTTAATTGAATATGGCCTTTGAACATTAGGATAAAAGCTAAATATTTTTTTTCTTGGATGGATACCATATACACAATTTAAAAACTCAATAAAAGGCTTTGTTCTACTTGGCTTATAAGAAAAAAACCACAAGAGTTAAAACAAGTATAATTCTGGAAAGTACTTTCCCAAATAGGAAAGTCAGAGAGTGAAAACCCACAACTTGGGGATGACCCATCAACTTTGGAGCACTCGGATAAGGAGCACTGCACAACCAGGAGGAACCAACTTCTCTACATAAGCAACAGTCATGTGAAAATTGAGAAGTGTCTTCTCCTGATTTTCTTAAAGGTCACTTATATCTAATTATCTGGAATTAATGAAATGATTGAAATACTTGTTTTCTACCTCTTCAGTATAGTCCTTTGCTTATAATTCTCTAAAGAAAAAGAATTGCTTCTGTGAATAGTTTGAGTTGAATAGAGGCAAGTTGAAACTTATAATCAGATGTGATTTGTTCAAAGTTGATAGGTGGAAAATTAATTTTTATATATATTGACAGATCACCATGCATAACACCATGTAACATATCCTCAGATACACCAGAACTTGGTAATGAAGCAAGAGAAATGGGAAGAAAGGAAATATACCATGCAAATAGTAATCACATGCCCCCAAAATAAAATTCAACTAGACAACTAGATTCAGACAAAAAGATGAAGATTGAAAGAAGCAGTATTGTAAACCAGAAAAAATTTAAATTCAGCAAGGGAGAACTTAAACTTGAAATAAGACTTGAAGACTGGATAAATAAGATTAGATATAAGGTAACAAAATAAGAAGTTAAGCCCATGTTTTGACCATGAGTGAATCCTGATTTAAGACACTTGACTCTGGGGACTGGATAGTACAGCAGGTAGGGTGTTTGCCTTGCATGCCACCCAGGTTTGATCCCGGCATCCCATTTGGTCCCCTAAGCACTTCCTTCCAGGAGTGATTCCTGAGTGCAGAGCCAGGAGTAACCCCTGAGCATTTCCAGGTGTAGCCCCAAAACAACAAAAACAAAAATAGATACCTGATTCTGAAATTCAAATCCAGTTGCAAATATGATGGAAGAGAACTTTAATATTAATTTGTAAGAAAACATATTGTATTTGGAACCTCCATATAAGTAATTCATGCAAGAAACCATCTTGTCTCTCCTTCCAGGTGTATCTGCCCAGCTCACCAGCACCTGGCATTGTCGAAATACTTCTGTAGGAACACCGTTCTGGATGGCTCCTGAGGTCAGATAGTTTTGAGCAGGGCACATGTAATGTTTGATCCTTCTAACTTTCCTTTTCTTGCCTATTGTGCCTCTTTGTATGTTTTGAAATATGCTAGAAGAAAGAGTTGTGTTATTTTTATAAAGTATTTGTGTGTGTGAGGAGGAACATGGAAGGAATAAAAAATAGGTTGTGAATGAATATGTAACTTAATGACGGCCTGAATGTATGAGTGTATGAGTGAAAGAGAGAAGTCTTAATATTTTGATTTAAGTTTATTTTTAATTGCTTAGTTTGATACTAATGTATGGATCTTTCTTAATCTTTAGATTCCGTTAAAAATTTTTGCTGTTTTGGGGCCACACCTGGTGGTACTCAGGGCTTACTCCTGGCTCTGTGCTCAGGGATCACTCCTGACAGAGCTCAGGGACTATATGGCACTGGGAATTAAATGGGAACAGCCATGTGCAAGGCAAGCACCCTACCCACTTTACTAAATCTCCAGTCCATCTGTTTTTTAATTTAAAAAAAAAATAGAAACAGAACCAACAGGCACATCTGAAGGGCATGTCTACAGCGACCCATAACATTGTTTTTAAATTTTAATAGTAATATTATAAACACCCCTGCCTTTGTTTAAGATAGAGTCCTTTGATTTACATAATAAACTCCCTCCCATACTGGGTCACTGCTCAGGGGCCATGCTCAGCTATAGTAGTTTATTTCTTTTTTTCATTATTTTCTTATGAAAGTTATAGCTATAACAAGTAAAACAGTTGAAGGAAAGTTTCCTAGAGTCACATCTTCGTTTTGCAGTCACTGTTAATATCTTTAATCTTTTTAATTATGTTTATCAGTAAAGAGCACTTATGTTTGAAAACTCTCTCTGCTACTTCTGGGAAAAGCCCTGCTATTTATCTACAGTTCTCAAGGGAGTGTTAGTAGGAGAAGTAATTCAAATACTGTATTAATATTACAAAATGTTTGAATTAAATTTGTCTGAGGATTAAATCTTAGTGCACTATTTTTAATATTAATTCATTTATTATAAAAAAGTTGAAATGTAAATGTAATATAAAATACAGATAAGAATAAATTAATATACTTTAGAAAATTCAAAAAATTAAAAACTTTTTAATGAGGCATTCATCACACAGTAAAAGTAAAACATTTAATCATATAAGAAAAACAATTCATAAGAGAATGTCAAATGAGTTTCATACTAGTTTGTTCAGATATATTACTAGTTTTCCAAGGCTTACAAAACATTTAAAATTAGAAATTAATATATTTATACCAAATTTTCTTTAATTTTCATATGGTTATATAATTAATGCTAGGTAATCAATAATCTAATTTATATTTTAAATAATAGTAACAAAGACATATTTGTCATTTAGTAAAATTAATTTTATTAGTGAAACTTGGATGCACTCTATGAATAAAATAACTAATTTGGGACCGGAAAGTAGTACAATAAGTAGTACATTTAGCTATGCACATAGCCAATTTAGATTTTATCCTGGACCTCACGTGATCCCCCAATCATTCCATGAGTGATTTCTGAGCACAGAGCCAAGAGTACCCCCTGAGCACAAAAGGGGTCTTTTGGTAGGGCGTTTGCCTTGCACGCAGCCAACATGGCTGACCCGAATTCGATTCCTCTGCCCCTCTCGGAGAGCCTGGCAAGCTACCGAGAGTATCTCGCCCGCATGGCAGAGCCTGTCAAGCTACCCGTGATGTACTCGATATGCCAAACACAGTAACAACAAGTCTCATGATGGAGACGTTACTGGGCCCGCTCAAGCAAATCGATGAACAACGGGAGGACCGTGACCGTGAATTACCATAGCACTACATGAATTAATAATTAAATTTTATATTAATGTATTATTACAAGACTAATATTATGGATGTTGTCATTTATCATAAGAAACCTACTCTAGTACAGACAAGCTTAGAAGTGCTTTCCAACTTACCAAACTAATGAATAATAAGAGTTCACTTCGGTGTATTTAAATTGTCATGTAAATACATGGACAACACTTTGTATTATATTCATCTCTCTGTAGTAAGCATTGTCCAACATGTGAATAATTGGTGATATTCCCTGCACTAACATACATATACCACATATACTTTTATTTGCTCAAGGAGCGATAGCACAGCGGGTAGGGCGTTCGCCTTACAAGCGGCCAACATGGCCGACCTGAGTTCGATTCCTCCACCCCTCTCGGAGAGCCCGGCAAGCTACCGAGAGTATTCAATATGCCAGACACAGTAACAACAAAGTCTCTAACGGAGACGTTACTGGGCCCGCTCGAGCAAATCGACGATCAACGGGAGGGCCTTTACCTTTACCTATTTACTTTTATTTATTTCCCGAGTTCGATTCCTCCGCCCCTCTCAGAGAGCCCGGCAAGCTACCAAGAGTATTGGATATGCCAGACACAGTAACAACAAAGTCTCCAATGGAGACGTTACTGGGCCCGCTCGAGCAAATCGACGATCAACGGGAGGGCCTTTACTTATTTGTTACTGGACTTCAGGTACTTCTTTATTGCCTTGTTTATCTTCCCAGGAATTCACCACTGAATGAAAAACCAGAATGTTACCAATATTTTCCATTGGCCTATATGCTTTTTCTCTTGCTTCTAGCTCTGGCCTCTACTGTAGAGTGATTTTCCCCCTCTACATATTGTGTTTATCAGTCACCCTCTACCTTATAATCATATTCATGTTTTTGTCCAAACTGTTGTTTGCTTTTGTCATTTCTTTCGGCGGCAGGTGGAAACGATGTTTTGTGTAAGGAGGAGTTATCCTTGGATGAACAATGTGTGCCCTGTACCAAGCAAGTACACCTTGCAGCACAGAAATTTCCCTTCTTCCCTCTCCTTTGCTGCTGTTTCAATAGCAAGAATCATTTACACCTGGTTGCCGTGTTCACATCTTCAGTCGCAATGGCTGCAAACACCCAAGTGTGGTGCTTTTACATATGCTCTCCAAGAATCATACACTTGAGTTGTGATGTCTCCATAGGCCCAGCTGTAGTATACTGGAGATCACACCTTGTTGTGGAAGCTTCAATGTCAGAGATGCCAGCCGTGCTTGGTGCATGTGGGCAGCACAAGAAATTAGAGTCAGGGTCTCCGGCATTCTAGGCAGGTGCCTTGACACTGAACTATTCCCTAGGCCCCAGGCCCCCACAAGGACTTTTTAAAAAGTGTTAAACCTGATCTGCATGGATTCAGAAAGATGAAATATTGTTCTGGATAGGGCCTTAATTTTTTTCACTTTACTAAAATCTGACACTGTATAGTTAAATGGTACAACTCTCTAACCTACCATATTTCAATACCGCTTATTTTTTAATAGTGGGCATTCATAAAATGTAATACTTCTTTAATGACCCACTAGCTCTTCCATAACATGTTTCATCTCCAGATAGTTGAGTTTGTTTCCCCAGCTTTCTTTTTATGGTTAATTTCTATCTTGACAGCACTGTGATTTGAAAAGGCACTACCTGTTGTTATAAGCATTTTGGTATGTTCTTCCTAAAGACACAATATTTGTCTTTTTGTTTGGTTTTCTTTAGGTGATTGCATGTGAGCAGCAACTGGATACCACTTATGATGCCAGATGTGACACGTGGTCTCTGGGGATCACAGCTATTGAGCTGGGGGATGGAGACCCTCCACTAGCTGACCTACATCCCATGAGAGCTCTCTTCAAAATACCAAGGTCAGAGGCCTCACGTAGGGTCCTATTTTGGTAGCACCCCATCTTTTACGCCCCTTCCTTTTCTCTTCCAGCCACCACGTGCTCTTTTGGGGAAATATGTAGATATATTTTAACAAATTGGGAGCATAGTGATCTGAAATGTTATTTTAAAAAAATTCTCTTTCGAGAACAAAAGGAAATGCCCTGCCACAGAGGCAGGGTGGGATGGGGGTGGGGGTGGGGGTGGGAGGGATATTACCCATGGTGGTGGAAAGTGGGCACTGATGGAGGGATGGGTATTTGATCATTGTATAATCGAAACCCAAGCACAAAAAATTATAAATCTACAACTGTACTTCATGGTGTTTCACTAATAAAAAGAAAAAAAATTCTCTTTCTTTTTCCTTACTTTGCCCTACTTCACCCCACTCCCAACACACACACACACACACACACACACACACACACACACACACACACTCACTGCAGTGCCTGCGGCTCTTGAACTCTCATGGTTATGGTAGACACACACATGGTTGTTATGCATTCCAGAAGCCACATATATTGGTTTTAGTGTTCTTGCATACCTAGTTGTGGTTTGCCATAGATCCCACATATTCCTGTGGTGCTGGGGATTCCAAACAGCAAAGACCCTGGAATTATGAACTATGCATCTGGGGTAGGGATCAAACTTAAAGCCTCACAACTGTACAGCAGATGCTTTGGGGAGAGTCATCTATCTGGGGCTCCCAATTCTGAGTCTTTTGAGTCATTTCATGTGTGCAGCAGTTTCATTTTCCCTATTTAGCATGTTGATGCTGGCGTGTACCATCAGTGACTCACTCTTGAATGTGGTTTAATTAACACAAATTGTAGCACTGGCATCAGTGTGCTAAGTGAGAGGTTTCTCTTGGTACTCGGTGTTTCTTTCTTGCTTCTGCAAGCATTTGATTCCAGAAAATAGCGATCCTTCCCACTCTTCCTTTCAACATACTAAGGTCCAGCCAAGGAATCGGTGATTTGCTGCACTCTACACAATCTAGTCATTTTTTTTTTCTTAGTAGTTACTAAGACTTCTTTTTAAAACTTTTAAAATGTGATTACTTAGATAATTGTAGATAAGATTTTTGATAAATAGTTATTTAAAACATGTTAAAATTTTTAATTAAAAGCAGTAACCCTAGAATAACACACTTTCCGAAGCTATGAAAGCACTTTCCTATTTACATAAGCCCCTTTCCTTCCATGTTTACCAACAGACTTTCATCTGCTTATTATATTCCTAATTAAATTTAAACATCCCATTAAACATAGATGAAAAATGCCTATTTTGTTGCAGTTGTGTTATTTTTTGAAGACTTTCTTCTGGGTTGTATCTGGTAACTTTTGTCGAAATGTACATATGGACTTGTAGTGATGGGGTGGCCACTTACAGTTCATTCCTACACACTATTAAAGAAACTTGAGTAGTTCCTTTAAAAACTCCTATATTAAAAACCCTGAAGAGAGTTTTCTTCCCCTAAAGTCATAATATTGGTATGTTCATTTCTAAGTATTTGGAAAGTATTAAATTGGTTTAAAAGCATTAAATTTTAAAAAATGATCTTCGAATTTCCTTTCCAGTCTTTATGTTCTGAATTGTAATACTCTAGGTCTTTACTCAAAAATTCCAATTTAACGGATTGTGCTTTTTGTAAACCATACTGCTTTCTTGAAAGAGATAAAGATGACAAAAAAAGAATGAAAAACCTGCCCTATACCAAATTGGATGCATTTCATCCATTTTGATGAAGATGGGAAAATGTTTTTATTTTCGAACTCCCACTATTATTCAATATGAAAATGAAGTACCATACTTTCAGAGCCATTTTGTTCTCTCTGAGTTAGCCTGGTGTTATTGCTCTTGGCGATTGTGTCATAGGGAGAATGAATGACATTCCAAGACAGAGTCTGTAATATAACAAGGTACTTCCAGAAACTGCATTTTCTTCATTATTTGTTATTATTTCTGCCACCAAAATATCTCTGAAATGGAGTACTAATACTGATATTTTAGAAATAGGACCTGAAGCTAATTCTGGTGGTTCTAAAATTATAAAAAATAAAACTGATTTATACTTAAAGCAACCAGTAAATCTCTCAGAAAGGAAATTTTGAGGAGAAGAATAAGCAAAGCAACATGGTTGGAGAAAAAAATTACTTCTTTTTATGTGAAAATCAGCAATCCTCAAATAGCCCTAAGGATTGTAAAATGAGCTTTAGACATGATCCCGAGAGATGAGTAGCTGCACTTCTCCTTAATGAGCCTGTACAAACTGTACATTAATTTCATTATAAGTTGTTTAAGGAATAATGCAGAATTGAAGACAAAGTCTTTTCGACTCGATAATGAAAACAAAGAGCTGTTTGAATTAGCATAAAGCCCTTCTTCAGCAAATTCGACCATCATGGTTAATCAATGTTGCTTGATTACAGTTAAATTAGCTTCATTTTCAAGTCATGTTCATTTGTATTCATGAACATGCCAAAAAACAAATAAGAGACTTATTTCAACTTAATATGAAAGGAATTTATATCAAAATCATTTAAGTAGTACGCAAAACTTTTAGGTAATCATATTTTCTAGTTCTTTACTTTGGTGACCTACTTCCAACCATCTATCCACTAATAAGATAGCTCACAAAGGCAATCTGTTGCCATCACCTCTTTACTGCAGTTTCCCTAGGTCCAGAAACTCTTTTTTTCCCCCAGTCATTTCTGTGCCCCTGATAGTCTCCTCAGAGAATTCTTTGAGATCAAAGTAGGAAATCTTGCCCCCACTCATCATTGTTTCTATTTTTCAAAGTATTGATGTTCCCATCTAGGACATTTAGGCAAAAGCAAAAAGATTTTTTAAAGGAAAAAATAAACATGTATCAGTTGGAAAATATGGGTCATATCTTATGTGCTTTCAGAAAACCAAGTAGCCTGTCATTTTATATAAGAAAAGATTAATAACTAATTATCTGTCTTTGAATGGAAAATGATGGTGATGCTTGATTATATGTGACAGGCCTTGATTGCAGTAATGCATTAACCTGTCTCTGATTTTGTACTGACTCACCAATGTTTATGTCCCAACCATGATTCTTATTTTTCTAGAAATCCTCCCCCCAAACTAAGACAGCCTGAAATATGGTCTGCAGAATTCAATGACTTCATTAGCAGGTGAGTAGTAATTTTAAAAATTATTTAATTAGACACCTGACTGTCTTTGAAATATGCCTTTTAAAATAATTAATATCTTTGAGTTCATGCCTTTTTCTTTATCTATTAAAAAGTCCCAGTGGTCTCCTTTATTTTCATCAAAATAAGCTTTCATAATGTCTTGCGAATGTTCACATAATGTTCTGTGAATTCACTATTGCTCACACACATATATAGTCTTGAAATCATATTTATTCACTTATTCAGTGGATTTGCTCCTGCAGGAAGTTTATTGGCCGTGACATGTACTATCAGCCTGTCTTTTGTAGCTATGCCCTCTGTATTTCCTACCTGTTCACTCACCCTCTATTTAGTTGATAATTCATCTTCAACATCAGCCCTCATCACAACCAGGGAATTTCCGTCATGATCAGCAGATCAAACAGTTGTAGTGATAACATAGTACTACATTTTATCGCTGGAGCGATAGCACAGCGGGTAGGGCATTCGCCTTATAAGCGGCCAACATGGCCGACCCGAGTTCGATTCCTCCGTCCCTCTTGGAGAGCCTGGCAAGCTACCGAGAGTATTCGATATGCCAGACACAGTAACAACAAAGTCTCCAATGGAGATGTTACTGGGCCCGCTCGAGCAAATCGATGATCAACAGGAGGGCCTTTACTTTACTTTACTTCACTTTACATTTTAAATTCAGTGAAATTTTTATTTAACATGTATTTTGCACAACTACAGTTGCCTTAACTAGAAGATCTGAGGTAGCCATTTCTAAATCTGTCTCATAGAACTTTTTTGTAGAATTTATATTATGTCTCTCCTTTTAACAAAAGGAAGTTAAGAGTAATTCCAGGTTGTAAGTAGGAGAGAGCAATCATTAATATAAGATGTGGAAAACTTCACAAGGAAAATGTAGAGAGGACAAACTCAGGAACCAGGTACATCTGGGCAGCTATTACTGGTTTCCCTGATGGGAATCAATTCTTTTCTACCATGCTCTGTTTTATTATTTAAAAAAAGAGACAGAAAGAATGTTAAAGTGCAGGAGGAACTGGTAATTTTTTCCTAGATTCCACTTTAGCTACTGTGTATGTGTTACACAAGATAAAAAAATTTCATAAATGACATAAAACTTTACAAGTCTCTTAGGAGAATCCCTTTGAAAGGCCCCTCATGATTCAGAATCACGCCTGTGTTTGTAGGTCTTTCAACACAGATTCCCAATGGACCTTGGGGACCTTGACCAATTTCATGCAGTTTCATCTCAGAGAAATATTTCTTGATTTCCTCCTGGCAGTTAATAGTCTTTCTAGTGCGTTATTGTTGCATTATTTTCCTCTCTCTAAAAAAAAATTATACTAATTTTATTCAGCTCCCTGCTTAGATGTCTTTCTTCTCAACTAAACAGTAAGCAGTGGAGGAGCATTAAATGGGCCTCACTTGTCTCCACTTCAAGTGTTTACAGAGAGCTTGGTATATATCAGCTATTTGATAAACTTTTACTTGGATAAAGTAGTTTAATATGTAAATATACTCAGTACATTGATACAAGGCAACATGTCAGAAATTAATGCATTCTGTTAAACTGAATGAAAATTGAAAGCATTTGTTCTTGAGATTACCTTCCTTATTTATTTATTAATATATTTTAGCATCCCTGGAAAATCTTTTTTTGGTTCAACCCAATAAAATAAGTGATTGAACTGACATCACAGAAGGATTAGTCAAGGCTTATGTGAGGACATGGGTTTCTTCTTTTTTTCTCCCTCTTTCTGTATTTATAAAAGATAGTTTAATATTGGCCTTTTTAAAAAAAATAATTACGATCCTCTGAATATCAGGGTCAAAATAGTATTGCAAATTTCTGTAGCTCAAAACCAGAGTATAAATCCTTCTTGATACCTACTAAAAATAATATTTTACAATGCAGGCCAGTCTATCTTGAGTAAGCCCCGCTGCTGAAAAGTCCTTCTAACACTGACCGAAAATCTGTTTCTCTGTTAATTCCACCAATTGATCATGGGTATTTTGTCCCTTAGGAGTCTAATCTCTCTTCCAAATATTTGATGACGGTTGTTACAGCTGAGTAAACATCCAAGCTTATTCAAATGCTTCTCCCATGATGCTGCTTCTAGTGCCTTATCCTTTCTCATTTCTCCACTCTGGTTGAACCTATCAAGAGGTGTGCTGTGCATTAATATAACTGCCACAGGACCTCAGAAAACATTTGCTCACATGGAATTTAAACATCCTCAGTGCATTAGCCTTCTCAAATGAGTTAGCAGTTTTCTCACGTAGAAAGAAATAGATCAATTAAGAAGCCCTTAAAAGCATTAGCGAAGGAAAACTGAAAAGTTTGTTTTAATTTTAGATAAGCATTAAAACTGTAATGGCTTCATTGTTGTTTAACTACTGAATTGTAAGGGAGTCTGCAGTGAGACAGAGTTTAATTATCATTATGCAGTAACAACTGAGAGAGCAGGAAAGTGGTGTTTAGCTCAAAGTTGGTATCACTATAACATAATCATTTACATATATGTGTGCTCTTTCACAACCATTCATTTCCTTGCATTGCAGTTTAACATTTTTAAGACATACTTCTTGGGCTGATCATTTGTAAACACTGCATTCTGGTATTTGTGTTTAGGAATATGAATAATCATTTCAGCACTCTTAGTTTTTAATAATTACATGCTCTCTTTTCTGCCAGTGCAGGTGCCTGACTAAGGATTATGAAAAGCGGCCAACTGTGTCAGAACTTTTGCAGCATAAATTTATTACTCAGGTTGATGAAAAGAATATGATGTTGCAAAAACAACTCATGGAATTCATTAACCTTCATCAATATGTGGGAGGCACAGAAAAAGCCAGGTAACTAAATAAGGACTCTAAAGATCTAATGTTCCTCTAACACCTCCAAGCAATTTGTTTCTTTGCTTCTTTATTTTGCTTTTGGATTTGGGGGCTGTACCAGAGGCTATTCCTCTGTGCTCAGGAGTGGCGCCTAGTGGTACTCGGGAGACCATACATGACACAGGGCATTGACCTGCTTTGGCAAGATGCAAGGCAAGTGTCTTAAGTGTAGTGTTATCTCTCTGGCATCTGAACAGTTTTATAATGTGATACTTATTGTAGCAAGAGGGAAAATTATTTTAATTTCTTGCTTGCTAGTTCAAGAGAGGAAGATACTTCCTTCCATAAGAATTGCATATCACACATTGAATTAAATCCAAATATTGGTAAAATTAATAGAAGCATTTAAAAAATAATAAATTTATCAGGAAGAAAGAATGTAGATGTCAATATATGACTATTGGATGTATATTTTCTGCTCATCCAACACCAAATGAAGATCCTTTCTTGCTCCATCCCCTCCAACACTGATTGTTTCCAGTCTTTTTAGATATGTGCCATTCTCACTGGTGTAAGGTGGTATATCATTGTTGTTTTTATTCTTATTTCCCTAATCACTCACAAGAGACAATCAGCACTTTTCCATATGCCTACAGGCCATCTGTATGTCTTATTTAAGGAAGTATCTGTTCATCTCCTCTTCCCACTTTTGCATGAGGTTTTTGCATTTACTGTTGTTGAGACTCGTGCACTTTGTAAATTTTGGGCATTAACTCCTTGTCTTATGTATTGTGTCAATATTTTTTCCCATTCAGTAAGATGTTTTTTAATTTTAACTCAACTTTATGTTGCCATGCAAGGATTTTTAATTTTATCCAGTACCATTTGTTTACTTTTGTTTTCGTTGTCTTTACCTCTGGAGTTGAATGACCCCCCCTAAGGTTCAGGAGCACCATAACCCAATGCCTTTATGACCATCATGAAGTTGAGGAGATATCACCAAATTAGAGAGAACTAGATCTCACAAATGCTAGCTGGGTCATTGGAGAAGAGAATATTTTCCTGTCAATATTTAATTAATTAATTAAGTGATTAATTTTGGTTTGGGGGTCACACCTGGTGGTGCTCACAGTTTAAACCTGGCTATGCATTCAGGGATGACTTCTGAAAGGCTTGAGGGATCATATTAGGTCCCATGGGTCAAATCTGACTTGTCTGGTACAAGGCAAACATTTTACCCAGTATACTATCTCTCTGACCCCACCCTCAACATTTTACTATTTGTCTCAAGTGCGAATCAAGATGAAGGGAAGAAGTGCTGGTTGATTATTGATAACATCTTGGGCAAAGTAGTTTTCTTTAAAATTGTGCAAAAAAATTTGGGATGGGGTTTGTGCCATATCTGATGTGTTTGGGGATATGTATATATATGTATATACACACATATATATATATACACACACACATATATACACACACATATATGTATGTATGTATGTATATGCAATACCAGGGGTCAAACCAGGATAGGCAACATGCAAAGCAAGGATGTTAATCCCTGTACTATTTCCAACCCTGCGATAGTGCAAAATTACTTGATTTATCCAATTCCTTGAATTGGATAAATTGCTGAAGCAATGAATGACCATTACATGTGTACAACTTTCCCAAGTTCTTTATGGATCTTAAATAATAACCTGAAAATAGTATCTGAATTGTGATTTGCTTTTTGCAAAGGACAAACCTATCTTAGTATCTACTGAATGATAATAAAGTCTAGTATGTTATCTTTCACACTTTTCTACCCCCAGCAAAATAAACTTAACATTTTATTTGAAAGCATAAACATGCTAGTGTTGACTGACTGTGATATACACATATAGAAATTTTTCCATGTAATTCTGTAGATTCAAAAGGGAATATTAATAAGAATTGAGTTACTAAAATAAAATTATGTTTTAGGCTAGAATTACTGGCTGTATTTGTGATGCTGTTGCCGTCGCTGAATTTTCCCCAGAGTATGGTACTTTTCAAAGCAAGATATAACACAGCCTTGAAACAAAGCTCAAAGAATTAGCAAATTCAAAGACTAAAAAGGTGTCCAGTAATTCAGTGCCCAGTGCGCCTAGTTCAGTTTATTACTTCTTTATTAGGCATGAGAATTTACCTAATGTAAATTCACTTAAATGAGAATTTGATTTTATCCCAAAAAATGAAATAGGAGGAGGAGGCGGAGGAGGAGGAGGGCAAAGGGGAAGGAGTGGAGAGAAGAAAAGGAAAAGGGAGAAAAGTAGAAAATCGATAGAAGTAATAACAGGGTTCTTTCAGTAACATACAATAATGACTCCACTTTACTTCCTATTTTGTGGGAAAGATAATTTTTCTGTAGTGGCAATGACTGCATCATGGGGAGAACTATTCTCTTTGGAACTTTTAGTTCTTTCCCTTATTGCATGGGGCTTCCAAAATGCTCTTCTTGCTACTCATAAAATAACTATCCTTAAATTCCCATCTCCAGATGTATATTTGAAACTTAAAATGTCTGAAACGGATGCTATTCCACCCAAACTTAGTTTTCTTCTCTTTCTTATTAGTGTTGATACTAATCTAGGATTATCTTGATTTATTTCCCTCTTGTACTCTCCACTTTTTGTTTATAAAAGACTAAATTTCTTTTGCATTCATTAGTTCATTAACAGTTTTATTCTAATTATTGCTGACAAGGACATCATGGATTGAAACCACATACATATTATGGGAAATTGAGGCAGGTGCTCCCCAGTGCTCTGACAGATGACATAGAAATAGTCTGTACTCTAGGAGCTAACATTTTAGTAAAAGGAATAGAACAACCCTGTAACTAAGTATTAAGCAATGTGGGAAGTTTTAGTTTCATGGAAGGAACGCAAATAGTGACCAATGAGAGGTGGAGAGTATTTCCACCAGCAGGAACACAAAGGTTTATTTGGGAGATGGTCTTATTCAGCACTGCAGGGGATAAGCAGGAGTAATTCATGTGAAAAGAGTTATTATATCATGAACTTTATTCCTAGAAATATGAGTCTATGCAAAAAAATGAGATAATCTCACCATTATAATTATGATCAAGGTTGTAAAGCAAGTTACAGAAATCATATTAGAGAGTGATGCAGAGAGAATCAGAGAAAAGTCGGGAGAACTTTGAAAGTTCATCCGAGAAGCTTGACCTAACTTCTTAAGAGTCCTAGTGAGTAGCCATAAGCCTCTTGTGACCTTATATGCACCAACTTTTCGTGAGTCCTTACAGGTAAATTATGGTTATACAAAAACAGATGACAGAAATAGTTCTTTATTATTTTAAATTCCTATTTTCAGTATGTCTTTCTATCATTAGACCCTGGGTTCGGGATTTTTTTTCCTAAGGTGGACCATCATTTTTAATTATCAAGGCAGTCAATGGCTAGCATTTGAGATGAGGAATCTATTGGTATATATTTCTTGATTTTTTGTGTGTGGGATGTTTTCATTGCTATGGGACTTGTATTCTAAACATATTTTGCTTAGTAAAATTCCATTCTTAGCTGACTGAAATGAGGGAGTAGAGTAATTGTGTGAATTCTAGAAGAAAGGCTTTATGGGGGCATTAGTCCATTATAGATAATTCAGAAAGATTGGTGAAGCTAGGGATTGATTATATTGAGGATCCATCTGGGACTTTTAGAAAAGAAATGATTATATCCTTTTCTATTTGAGACATGTCTTTATGTCTTCATTCATTATTTCTGGAGAAACTCCCAAATAAGAAGTAAATACCTTTAGAATATGGTGTCCCAGAATTTTTATAAGGAACATGGGATTGGATGAGCACTCTCTGGAGAAAACCATTCTGAGTATTTCTGCTTCTTGGTATTACTAAATAAAGGAATTCAAATAAACAGAAAGAGACCATTGCTCAAATGGGCTAAGAAACTTAATACTGAGGAGTAAGTTACAGTGATGCTTCAAAACAAGAGTAAAACATAAAAGAGTGAAAAATGTTATTCACTGATGGGAACGCAAATGCCATCTTTTGTTTGTTTCTTCTGGGGTCACAATTGGCTTAGGTGACCATGTGGGATGCAATGGAAACAACTAAGGATTTGATTTGGTCTAGAAAAGCCAAAAGTAATGCCAACATTAAAATAATAATTTCTAGAATATTACTGGAAATTCTAGCATTAAAGTAATATACAAACAATATAACATTTCCTTGGGGGAAATGGCATCTCAGTTAAAGAAGGGAACACCAGGAGGATTACTCCATAACTTAGAGGCCAGTCGGGTATCCTAGAGGAAAGGGCAGTTCAGATAGAGAAGGGAGCACCAAATAAAGGGTGTTTGGAGGATCCTCCCAGGAGGGGAGATGCATGTCGAAAGTAGACTATGGACTGAACATGTTTGCCACTCAATGCCTCTTTTGCAGACCACAACACCCAAAAGGAGAGAGAGAACACAGGGGATTGCCCTGCCACAGAGGCAGGGGGGGATGGGGGGATGGGGGTGGGGGGGATATTATCCATGGTGGTGGAAAATGGGCACTGGTGGAGGGATGGGTATCTGATCATTGTATAATCGAAACCCAAGCACAAAAAATTGTAAATCTACAACTGTACCTCATGGTGTTTCACTAATAAAAAAAAACGGAAAAAAATAAAAAGAAGGGAACACCAAGTAAAGGATGTTTGGAGGACACACTCGGGTTGAAAGATGTGTGCCGAAAATAGACTATAGACCAAACACGATGGCCACTCAATGCCTCTATTGCAAACTACAACACCCAAAAGGAGAGAAAAAAAAGGAATGCCCTGCCACAGAGGTGGGGTGGGAGTGGGGAAATGAGGTGGGGGTAGTGGGAGGGATACTGGGAACATTGGTGGAGGAGAATGGGCATTGGTGGAGGGATGGGTAAATGATCATTGTATGACTGAAATGCAAACACGAAAGTTCATAAGTTTGTAACTGTACCTCACGGTGATTCACTAATAAAACATAAATAAGTA